TAAATGCCAGGACTACATTGTCGTGCTCATTTTCACATAGTTCACTCAAGGAGTCACTGTATAAATGATAATAATATTAATGAGCCCACATTTTGATAACAATCAATATTACTAAAAGGTTAGCAGAAGTAATTGCCCCAAAACCTAAATATGGAGAAAAAAATATGCAGAATAATAAAAGGCACATTTATCTTATAAAATCTTTACAATATGCATCATGTATCTTGAGAAAGATAAAGATATATAGCTTCACACAGTTCCTCTTTATCTTACACCTAAGCTTGCTCTGTGAGTTTGTAAGACCACAGAATCCCATATTCTTGGGCCCTAGAAGTGTTATTCAACTTCTTTTCTTCTCTGTATACATCTCATGAAAGCCATATAGACTTCCTAATATCCTGACCATTATTTTTGAAAACCTGCAGTCATCCAATTCAATGAAAAAACTATTCTGTCCCTTTTCCATAGATTTTAGGAACTAGAACCTAGAGTGAACGAGAGGAGACTTAGAACTAAGTGGGTCTTTCAGTACCTGACATGTGATTTGAGCATTGAAATCCACTGTGATTTAACATTCTGCCATCCTTTCTGTCTTCATGTCCCACCTTATTCACTCTAGAGCAGAGCTTCTTCTTTTTTTTTTTTTAACTAGTCCTCAGTGGCTGAATATTAGGAATTATGACATCTTTATCTCTAAGTCTGAAATTCCTCCAGAGTTTCAGACTTATTATTCCATCTGACTGCTTGACATTTCCCCCTGGATGTCTTACAGACAACACGTGATATTTTAAATTCCAACTCATAAATTATTGTCAGCTACCAAGTCAACATCATGTATTCCATACTTTCATTAACATTATAATTAACCAAATCAGAAATCCCAGTTGTCATATCTCTTGCCCCACTGCATGAATTCCACCTCTTACATCATTCATTTCTCCCACCACTGCCTAATTCAAGCCCAGAATATAGCCTCCAACTTTAGTTCCCTGCCTTCAGTTTCTCTACCTCCTGAGTTAATCTATATCCTGTGCCAGAATAACATCCCTAAAACATAGATCTATGTTATACTCATCCTTAAAAACTCCCTATCTCACCTTTGTCTACATTTTAAATCCAGACTTCATTGCATAACAAGTAAGACCCTTCGCATATATAACCAAATTCCTTTCAAAGACTCCACACTCACTTCTCAGCATGTCTCCGTATCCCCGTCACAACCTCCACATTCTGTATTCCACCATCATTAGCTTGGGGCCTATACCTGAATATATCAGGACCTTTAATATTTCTGTACATTTGGATACACTATTCTCCCTGCTTAAAATCCAATTACTGTAATTATTCTACTTAATTATCCTATGTAACTAGAATTACATTAAGTAAAATTAATCTACTTAATGAATTTTCACTTCTCCTTTGAGACCTAATTCGAAATTACATCTTCTATAATGCTTTTTCTGATTCTAGTAGCATTAATCATAAGGTATTGATGTTATCTTAGTATTTTATATGTAACTCAATCATAGCACTTACCACATATGATTGTCTACAAGAAAGTTTCTCCCATGACATTGAAGTGCCTGGAAGAGTCCCTCTATCAAAGTAAGATCTTGATACTTTTATAATTGATGAACAGATAAAAGAATTATTTTTCTTGTTTCAACTCTTGAGATATGTTTAAAATCTCCAAAGCTTCTCAGGCTGCTCAAAGAAGTTGAAGCTTTGGTAGCTATAAGCCACTTGAGGAATCCCCCACATGAAGATACTCAAAGTGGGAGAAGTAGGGCCATTCTAAGACTTTCACTCTTTGCAGAGAGCTTCCCAAAGGGTCAGACTCAGCTCAAACCAAGGAAAACCATAAATGTGTCCTCACTAACAAGGTCCTTTAAATAAATATTCTCCTTCCCAAACTGAATTTGTGAAAAACTACACACACTTGAAAAAGAAGTAAGGACTAGAGATAAGGAAAATGGAGCTAGACAAAAATTAGATGAGCAATGGAGCATAAAGAAAGGAGTACCCACAGAGAGTTCATATTTGCTTAGGTCTCTATTGAGATGGGGGCAGATGAACACAGGAAATCAACAGGAGATGCCAGAGCCTGGAAAAGACACTGAATATGAGAAAGACTTAAGTGCTCTGAAGTGGATATAAACTGGAGACCTACTGAAGTCATTAGGGTGTAGCCTTCTAGATTCCCATTTATCTGACTCAGTGTGACTGCTCAGCATTTGTAAAAAGAATATGGTGAGGCCTGGAGATTTATGAAGTCATGAGGAAGTGCCTTTGAGGCTCTGATCTGGATGAAATTAAGTTACAAATGAATTTGAGATGAATCTTAGTACCAAAAAAAATGTGACAGTGTCCTGAGGAATGGGTCTGCAGAGACTTTGGTCAGCTGAGTTGTAGAGAATCTGGGAGGCTCAATGATACATTCTGAGTGCTCCTTCATGAGAATCATAAACTTACACAAAGAAAGGGCTCAATGTCTGCTAAACTATCATTAAGTAATTGAGGAAATCAAACTCAGCATGAAACATACCTGATAGCCTGAATGTTGAATGCAAAGTCTTTCAAACACCTTAAGAGCTGTCCCATATGCATCCTAAAGAGAAGAAAATTTCTTAATTAAAAGGTATAAAAACACAAACATAAAATAATTAACAATAATTAATTTTATGATTAAAATAATGATTAAAAATAATCAAACTTTAATAGTGGTCTGTCTATGGCAGTTAATTTATCTGTCAAATACACTCCCAGTTGAGAATTCATTTTATTGCATTAATCATAATGAAATTCAGAGGCATAAGTAAAAAAAAAACACAGAAAAAAATATTAAAGAGAGAATATGATCATCATCACAGGGGGAGGGGGAAATATACAAGTAAAGCTTAGAAGGGCCAATAGGGACTAGAGATTAAAGTGAAAAAAAAAACAAGTTTGTACACTAATGTTATTTCTACTTTCTTCATAACTAAGAACTAGACCTAAGAAAACAAATGTATCTCAAGATTTGTGAAGAATAGCAGAACATTGAGCAAGATGCTATTCATCTCCCCCACAAAAAAGGACCAAAACAACAAATAAACCATTCTATTTCCACATGATGAAGTATGCCGGAGAGCAGCAGAGGAGCACCTGCAGAGCACAGAAGCCCACGGTAGCACTGTAGAGACAGGAGTGAGGCACCCTGCTCTGCCACACTCTGTCCTATCAGGAATGACTGGGAGTCAGGGTGGCTTCTTCTTACAGAAAAATGCTATGCTAAAGACTTCCAGTGCTTTCCATAGCCATCACAGATGCTATCCGTTCTTACTACAAGAGAGTCTCCCAGTCCTCACAGGCCCTGAATCTATTGTGGAGCGTTACCACAAGTTTAAGTAGCTACATCAGCCCAGAGTAAGAGCCCACATTGTGCATCCCCACCTTCATGACTAAGCAGCTACAGCATAGTGACATTTTGAAACCAGACTCACTGCTAGACTGTATCCCCTACTGGAGGCCAGTAGCCATGCTCTCTCCATCCGTGAAGCCTCACCAGCATTTCACATCCAAAGCTATGTGGCAGCCATGACCCACTAAGGAAAAGGTAGATAGGCACAGCAAGAAAGCTACTGAACAGGTGGCCAGGCCACTGTACCTGTGCATACTTGTGCTGCATAGCCAGATAAACCACCATGGGTTTAGTTTGTTCTTGTATATTGTTTCTTGAGGTGTATCGTTGAGTTCTTTAGTAAAAAATCTTTCCTCTTTTTTGATTTAGGCCTTTATTTCCATAAACTCCATTTTAAAACTGCTTTTTCTATACTCCATAAGTTTACTTATAATGTGTTTCCACATTTGTCTTAAGAAAATTTTAAATTTCCCTTTTGATTTGTTAATTGAGATGATGGTTTTTATAGGAGTAATTATTTACTTTCTATGTATTTGTAAATTTTCCAGAGTTCTTATTGTTGCTGATTTCTACTTTTATACCATTTTGCTCAGAAAAGGTACTTGATATGATCTCTCATTTCTTACATTTGTTCAGACTTGTTTTGTGATCAGACACTTCTCAAAAGAAGACATTTATGCAGCCAACAAATATATGACAAAAAGCTCATCATCACTGCTCATTAGAGAAATGCAAATCAAAACCACATTGAGATACTATCTCATGACAGAATGGTGATTGTTTAAAAGTCAGGAAACAACAGATGCTGGAGAGGATGTGGAGAATTAAGAATGCTTTTACACTGTTGGTGGGAGTGTAAGTTAGTTCAACTATTGTGGAAGACAGTGTGGTGATTCCTCAAGAATCTAAAACTAGAAATACCATTTGACCCAGCAATCCCATTACTCGGAATATATCCAAAAGATTATAAATCATTCTACTATAAATACATAAGCATAGATATGTTTATTGTGGTGCTGTTCACAATAGCAAAGACTTAGAACCAACCCAAATGCCCATTATTGATAGACTGGATAAAGAAAATGTGGCATATATACACCATGGAATACCATGCAGTCATCAAAAAGGATGAGTTCATGTTCTTTGCAGGGACACGGATGAAGCTAGAAACCATCATTCTCAGCAAACTGACACAAGAATAGAAAACCAAATGCCACATGTTCTCACTCATAAGTGGGAGTTGAATAATGAGAACACATGAACACAGGGAGGGGAACATCACAAGCTGGGGCCTGTTGTGGGGTGGTGGGCTAGGAGAGGGACAGCATTAGGAGAAATACCTAATGTAGATGACAAGTTAGTAGGGTGCAGCAAACCACCATGGCACGTGTATACCTATGTAACAACCCTGCATGTTCTGCACATGTACCCCAGGACTTAAAGCATAATTTTTTTAAAGGCAATCAGTTTTATAAGAAATGCAGAGCATAAAAGACTGGAAAAGTTGCAACTGACAATGTGGTAGAAAAGAAAATCCCATTTTCTGAGGAGAAATTTAATTCAGCTGCAGAATTTTGCATAAGTAACAAGGAGCTGAATGTTAATCCCCAAGACAGTGGGGAAAATGTCTCCAGGATATGGCATAGGTCTTCACAGCAGACCCTCCCATCACAGACCCAGAATCTAGGAGGAAAAAGTGGTTTCATAGGTTGGGCCCAGAGTCCTTGTGCTGTGTGCAGCCTTACACTGGTATCCTGTGTCCCAGCTGCTCCAGCCATGGCTGAAAGAGGCCAATGCAGAGCTCAAGCCATGGCTTCAAAGAATGCATGCCCTAAGCCTTGGTAGTCTCCACATGGTGTTAAGCCTGTGGGGGCACAGAATTCAAGAACTGAGGTTTGGGAACTCCTGCCTAGATTTCAGAAGATTTATGGAAATGCCTGGATAACCAGCCAGAAGTTTGCTGCAGGGGTGGGGCCCCCATGGATAACCTCTGCTAGGGCAGTGCCCAAGGAAAATGTGGGGTCAGAGCCTCCACACAGAGTCCTAACTGGGGTACCACATAGTGGAACTGTGAGAAGAGGGCCACTATCCTCTGTAACCCAGAATGGTAGATCCACTGACAGTTTGCACTGTGCACCTGGAAAAGCCACACACACTCAATGCCAGCCTGTGAAAGCAGCCAGGAGGGAGGTTGTACCCTGCAAAGCCTCGGGGCAGAGCTGCCCAAGACTATGAGAACCCACCATCAGCATGACCCAGATGCAAGACATGTAGTCAAAGGAGATCATTCTGGGGCTTTAAGATTCGACTGTCCTGCTGGATTTCGAATTGCATGAGGCCTATAGCCCCTTTATTTTGGCCAGTTCCTCCCATTTGAAATGGCTGTATTCACCCAATGCTCATATCCTCACTGTGCCTAGGAAGTATCTAACTTGCTTTTGATTTTACAGGCTCATAGACAGAATGGAGTTGCCTTGTATCAGATAAGACATTGGACCATGGACTTCTGAGTTAATGCTCAAATGAGTTAAGACTCTGGGGGACTGCTGGGAAGGCATGATTGGTTTTGAAATGTGAGGACATGAGATTTTGGAGGGGCTGGGGCAGAAAGATATGGTTTGGCTGTGTCCCCACCCAAATCTCATCTTGAATTGTAACTCCCACCATCCCCATATGCCATGGGAGGAACCCAGTGGGAGGTGATTGAATTATGGGGACAGGTCTTTCCCAAGCTGCTCTCGTGATAGTGAATGAGTATCACAAGATCTGATGGTTTTAATCACAGGAGTTTCCCTGCACAGGCTCTCTTCTCTTGGCTGCCACCAAGTGAGATGTACCTTTCACCTTCTGCCATGATTGTGAAATCATGGAACTGTAAGTCAAATAAACCTCTTTTCTTTTCAAAGTGCCCAGTCTTGGGTATGTCTTTGTCAGCAGTGTGAAAACAAACTAATACAACCATTAAAAGAAAACAGCAGAAAAACTTCATGATACTATGCTGGGCAAGGATTTTTTAAGTAAGATCTCAAAAGCACAACCAATAAAAGCAAAAACAGACAAAAGAGATTACATCAAACTAAACAATTAACAGAGTGAAGAGACAACCTATAAAATGGGAGAAAAATATCTGCACATTACACATCAGACAAAAGATTCATACCCAGAATGTATAAGAAACAACAGCTAAAAAAATCAATTTAAAAATGAGCGAAAAACTTTAATAGACATGTCTCAACAGAAAATATACAAAAGGCCTATAGGTATATGAAAAAATGTTCAACAACACTAATCATCATAAAATGCAAATCAAAACCACAATCAAATACCACCTCACTCTAGTTAGAATGGTTATTAATTTTTAAAAAATGACAAAAGCAAGTGTTGGTGTGAATGTGGAGGAAAGAGAATGCTTACACGCTGTGGGTAGGTTTATAAATGAGTAAATCCATTATGGAAAACTATGTACGTTCTTCAAAATATTAAAATTAGAATTATGATATGATCCAGCAATCCCACTGCTAGATATATATATCCAAAGAAATTAAATCAGTATGTCAAAGAGATACCTGCACTCCCATCTTTAATGCCACACTATTTACAACAGCTATGATATGGAACCATCTTAAGTGTCCAACAATGGATGAACAATAAGGAAAATGTGATACATATACACAATGAGATACTATTCAGCCATAAAAAGGAATAATATCCTGTCATCTGTGACAACATGAATCAATCTGGAAAACATTATGTTAAGTGAAATAAGCCAGAGACAGAAAAAAAGAATATTGCATGGTATTCACTCATATATGAAATCCAAAAGGAAGAAAAAATAATATAATAGAAGTAGAGGGTAGAATAATGATTTCAAAGATTGGGGAGGGGAAGAGAGGGGAGGAGGTGGGCAGAGGTTAGTGAACATGTACAAAATTACAGTAAGATAGTAGAAATAAGTTCTAGTGTTTTATTGCACAGTTAACAGTATTGTATTGTAGATTACAAAATAGCCAGAAGAGAGGCTTTTGAATGTTCTCACCACAAAAAAATGGTAAGTATGTGAGGTGATGGGTACCCTGGCTAACCTGACTTAATCATCATACAACATATATGTATCAAAATAACAAATTGTACCCTATAAATATGTACAGTTACAATGTCAACTTAAAAACTTTAAAAATAACAGCATTTAAATATTTAAAACTAATTTTGATCAGAATTATTCAAAAATTTATGTAAAATTCATATAGAATTCCTGAATTACTGTTTAAATGCATGACTTTCCCCATTTTTACCTTCTTGTCTCTATGACTCAATTTTTCACTTTCCATGTGAATTCTAAGTATTCATCCTTCTTTACTGCTTTGTAAAATGACTTCCAAAGAACTAGAACAAGTGTCCCTTTCTAACAGACAGCTGCAAAGTTAACTTTCTCATAATGTAAGTTTCAGATCTTTTCCTTCCACATCACATTTGTGGAGAAAAAATAAATATCTATTTATTTATTTCAAAAAAGATAATCTTTGATATGCTTCTGGAAATCATCCAACATTCTTTCTTAATGAATGATTAGCACAATGGTAAATCATTAAAATATCTTTTTGAGCTTTGTAATGTATTCAATTTTTTTGTCTTCAGAGTTAAGTTCACCAGAACCAGTTCAAGTACCAAGATTTTGGTAGTACCTACCCCCAAAATCCAAAATAATACTGAAGTTTCTAATCACCAGAAATTATTCTTCTAGAAAGTGATCTAGTATGTTTTCATGACTAATCTGTATTTTAAACTCTTAAAAAGATTACTTATTAAAATTCCTATTTAAAAAATGTTTACATTTATATAATTATATGATGTAAATTATATGTTGTTACATTTATAATATGAATATACAGTAATAAAACATAGATATGTAGGTATATATATATTTTACAGACATGCACCCATAAACCTACCCATTGGTTTGTCCTAATCTTGTCAAGCAGTTGTGCTTGTAGAAATTGAGTGCATATGCATTTAGTGGCATCCTCCTTCCTCGGTGATCGAATTTCCATGGCCACAGCAGAGGAGCGTGAGTGCCATTAACACCGACTGTGTGCAGAATGACCTGAAGAAAGACATTTTCTATTAATTCATTATTGATATATAAAGATGAATTGTTTGCAGTTTGAGATTTCTCTTGTATAAACCGCAGTTTCCTAAAGTACAATCTGAAGAAGCTGAGGTGAAGGAGGCAGGCAGAGGAGGATTCCCATGGGGGTCAAGGGAAATAGGGCCCATTACAGTGAGGGAAAGGGGCGTGTTAGAGACCCTGGGCAGTGTCATGATAAGCATGTCTCTGGACTGGGCAGCCCAGTGAGGGAAATGGAAACTCTCACAACATACTGAGAGCAATTTCAGCCCTCCAGCTATAATACTGTAAGCAACATTCACTAAGAAAAAATACATAGAAGCTGATTTTAAAGAAGCTGTGCCCACAGGGAGAATACAATGGAGTGGCACCAACCTTTGGGCTCCAGAGAGAAGAAAAAAGTGGAGCAGGAGGGATAGAAGAGGAAAAAATGAAGAGAAGCAAAATGAACAAATAAAAACTAAGTTTCCATAGTTCTGGGCCCATAAGACAAATTAATCTGTACAGAATCGAAAGAAATCTGCAAATTCTGCTAGTGCATGGATAAAATTAAACTGTGGTGCAAGTGAAATAGAAATACAAGGTCAGGCTAGGCATGGTGGCTCATGCCTGTAGTCCTAGCAGTTTTGGAGACCAAGGCAGGTGGATTGCTTGGGCCCAGGAGTTCAAGATCACACTGGGCAACATGGTGAAACCCTCTCTCTGCTAAAAATACAAAAAATTAGCTGGGCATGATGGCGTGTGCCTGTAGTCCCAGCTACATGGGAGACTGAAGTGGGAGAATTGCCTGAGCCCAGGCAGTTGAGGTTGCAGTGAGCTGAAATGTGTCACTGTACTCCAGCCTGGGCAACAAACACAGTGAGACCCTGCCTTAAAAAAAAAAAAGAAAGAAAGAAAAGAGAAAGAAAGAAATATAAGAAACAGAAGAAGAGGGAAAATGAGGGGAGGGGAGGGGAGCAGAGGGAGAAATGAAGGAGAGGGAAGGGAAGAAAGAGAAGAGGAAAGAAGGAAGGAAGGAAGAAAGGAAGGAAGGAAGGAAGGAAGGAGAAAAAAGAAAGAAAGAAAGAAAACAAAGAGAAAAAGAAAAAGAGGAAATGAAGGAAGGAAGGAGAGAAGGAAGGGAGGGAGGACAGACAAGTTCAATGAGAAAAACACATAATGTAAAATTTGTAACTCTGGAGAAGTTGTTTGATCATCTGTGTTCTTTTCTATTTGATTACTCTGGATATCAAATAGCTTTGATACCTATATTCTTTTGGATAAAGTTTTAAATAATTTAACAGTTATTTTAAAATGCCAATATTTATAATGAACCTGAAATTACATTAGCAGGTATTTTTTTTTTTTTTTTGAGACGGAGTTTCACTCTTGTTACCCAGGCTGGAGCGCAATGGCACGGTCTCGGCTCACTGCAACCTCCGCCTCCTGGGTTCAGGCAATTCTCCTGCCTCAGCCTCCTGAGTAGCTGGGATTACAGGCACATGCCACCATGCCCAGCTAATTTTTTGTATTTTTAGTGGAGACAGGGTTTCACCATGTTGACCAGGATGGTCTCGATCTCTTGACCTTGTGATCCACCCGTCTCAGCCTCCCAAAGTGCTGGGATTACAGGTGTGAGCCACCGCGCCCGGCCATTAGCAGCTATTTAAACTGGTCAACAAAATTTTTAGATATCAACCCAAACTCTGCAGGAAGATTCATGATTTTTAAAATTCCTGTAAACGTTACATATGCAAAAATACTTGAAGCTCACTCTTGACATGATACGTGACTCCTGACTCAGTGTCAAAATGAAGTCAGTATACCGTGTCAATCTTTATTATTAAATATAATCAATGTGGAATTTATTTCTCATGTTTCAGATTAAGTGTAACATCTTCCAGCACCCAAATCTTCCAGTATCCAGTACCTCCCAGAGGTTTTAGGGCTTTGTGGCCCCTTCGTAGACAAGTATCCTCAAAGACAGATGTGGTCTGGAGCACAGAAACATCATGAGGTCTATATCAATATTGGGAAAATGTGAGCCACTTTCTTTTCCTCTTCCCATAGCAAACCTGTGGCAAACCTCATTAAAAAAATGAGAAAAAAAGAAGTGGTGTCTGAAAGTTTAGACAAAGAAGCAAGGTTTCTCAGGCCAACATCCTAGAGCATAAAATCACACTGGCCTCCAGGGCTTCATTCTCTTGGACAATGGTGTTGGCATCAGCGGACATCTTTCAGTGTTTTGGGTCTGAGATCCCATGAAGGCTGCACGGCAGTGTAACACCACTCTGTCTGTTAAACACACTTTGTACATAAGATGCATCCTTCCCTTACCTGATTGACAGTCTCTGGTTGAAGCAAATCAATATCTGTGTTCCCCGAAAGACAAACAAATGGTGAAATGGCGACTCTTCCTTCCTTGCAGCTCATCAAGTGAGACACAAGTTGGGAGTCTTCACATTTTTTACCTGTGAATTCTGATCATGTTGGACTAGGTCACGTTAGAGTTGAAAAATCAGCCCACATGTTAACCCTGTTAAACTCACTGTAGGTCAGGCCACAGTAAGTGACATTCATCTCATCAGAATGAAGGCTGACAGAGATACGGTGCATACAGTCTTCAACCCAGCTTGGCACAGAGTAACTATGCGATCCATGTTGACTATTAACTCATTATCATTACTCTTTTTATTACCTGTTATTTTTGCCCATGAACTCAGATATAACCTCAGAAACCTCCAAGACACAATGTTCAGGCAGCTCCTACCAGTGGATTTGGAGCTGGCATAAGAAATAAAACAGGCTCTGTCCAGCGAGTACCAACTCACTAGACTTGGAAGGCACCAAGTCATTAAACTCAAGCTTCGCTCCTTCTTCCCACCCTGCCACAATCACACACTCCCACCAGCTTTTCTCTGCATACTTTCCTTGCTTCCACCACTGTTGTCTCTATTTGCTCACACTGTGTCCTAAATCAACAAATCTTGAGGAACTACAATGCTTACCTCCCTGTCTTTTACTCCAACTAAGACTATATTAGAAGACAGGGGAATAAGGGAATCATTTTATGGCTCCACTCTTTTTTTTTTTTTAAGGGGAAATCATTCATTTATTGTTCAAGGATCGCAAGACAACATCTTAATTTCTGTAGCGCGATTTAAATGTTTTACTTCTTTGATAAAGCAGAGTACAATAGGAAAAAAAACAATTAGTTTCCAGTAATATCTATATCTCTAATCAGAATTAAGTCTTCCACAGACATGTTACCTGGAAATAAAAGCCTGTTACAATAAGCAAAGCTTCAACCAGAGCGGTTACTTTTCGTGCCAGGAAAAAGTTCATCCCTATAGGAGGAATGATGTGCTATGTAAAGCTCCACTCTTTACTCTTAGTCTAGCTTCTTCTTTCCATTTATTTTCCCTTAGAAGTTTCCTGCTATAAAATTGAAATTTGGAAACTTAGTTATTTTGCCATACCAGTTACTCCTCAACCAAGAGCAAGTAACAGAAGCAAACAATGATATTTGCAATGTCCACTAGAACTTTTTGCAATGATAGAAATATTCTGCCTCTACTATGTTCAAAGTAGAAACCACTAGTATTTGAAATGTAGCTAAAGTGACTAAAAAATTAACTTTTCAATGGTTTTACTTTTAACCAACTTAATTTAAATAGTGACATATAGCTAGCTGGTGGCTACCATATCAGGTAGAATAGACTCATACAATGTTGACTATGTGTCATGCACTGTTTTAAGAACTTTATAAACATTAAGATACCCAATCTTCCCAGCACCTTCGGAGGCTGAGGGCGGATCATGAGGTCAAGAGATTGAGACCATCCTGGTCAACATGGTGAAACCCTGTCTCTACTAAAAATACAAAAAATTAGCTGGGCATGGTGGCACATGCCTGTAATCCCAGCTACTCAGGAGGCTGAGGCAGGAGAATTGCCTGAACCCAGGAGGCGGAGGTTGTGGTGAGCTGAGATTGCGCCATTGCACTCCAGCCTGGGTAACAAGAGCGAAAGTCCATCTCAAAAAAAAAAAAAAAAAAAAAGATACCCAATCCTCTAAACTTTTGTAAACTAGATAATATTTTTAGTCCTTTCATTTCACAGATTAAAAAATTGAGACATAAAAATTAAGTAGCAGGCATGAGATCTCATGGTTAATAATAAGTATCAGAGCCAAATTTGGACCTCGGCACCCTGCTTCCAGAGTTTACATGTGTAACCTCTATACCACTACCTCTCAGGGAAAAAAAAAATCCCAGAAATTATGCCATTTTCTTTTTTATCTGTCAAGGCAAACTTCCATCAAAATGAGGCTGGGTGCGGTGGCTCATGCCTGTAATCACAGCACTTTGGGAGGCTGAAGTGGGTGAATCACAAGGTCAGGAGTTTGAGACCAGACTGACCAACATGGTGAAACCCTGTCTCTACTAAAAATACAAAAATTAGCCAGGCATGGCAGCAGGTGCCTGTAATCCCAGCTACTGAGGAAGCTGCACAGGAGAATCACTCGAACCCAGGAGGCAAAAGTTGCAGTGAGCTGAGATCACATCACTGCATTCCACCCTGGGGGACATAGTAACACTCTGTCTCAAAAAAAAAAAAAAGATTTATGATTACTTTAATGTTTTTTTCTTCCATTGCCCAATTAATACTTGGTAATTATAAAGTTTTTTTGGTTTTTGGTTTTTTTTACTTGGAAAAACGAGCCATTACCATACCCTATGACAGGCTACATTGTTTTCTTGGACAAAACACTCAGGTTAGTACAGCTGCCCTGGAATAAGCTCCTTTACCAGTTTTGAAGAATCTAATATCTAGAGGCTTTCTTAGGCAAGATTCTTTACCCTTTAAATTGTTCCAGAATGGAAGTAAAATTTGCTTACTGATTCCTGACAAAGGGAGTTGATACTCATTTCTCATGTTCACCGACTTGGAAGCAGTCAGGAGGAAGGAGGCAAAATCCTTCATCACTTCCAGGTTATACTCATGTAAAGCAGCTTTAAAATCTTCTGGGAGGTCGGCAAGGATCGCCTACGGTGAGATACATTTCAGAAAGAGCTCTTTACTTTTATTTAAAAAAATTAAACTGCTTGGTGAAAAGATTGCAGCATCGTTCTGTAGATTGATGTTCATTCTGTGATTACTTTATTCACTTGTGAGATTAAGGTAAAATTTCCTTTTGATTTCAACCAACATTTATAAATGCAAATATCTTTCCTTAAAAAAAGTTGTTTCAACTCCACTTCAGCCAAAACCACCAATTTAATAGAAATGTGACCTACACTGATATTAATTAAACTTAGGTATCTTTCAGAGACTTGAAGGATATATTTAGAGAGCAAGTGACAAGTTAGTGTAGCAATGGTAGCATAAATTCTTTATTGAGTTCAGATTGTGTGCCAACACTGTGCTGTGATGACCCAAGCACTTGTGTATGTTAGCGAAATTAATCCTAAGAACAACCCTATGAAGGAAACATTTTCATTTACATTTTGTAAATGAGGAAGCTAACCCTCACAGAGGTAAACATGTTCCAAATCTGACAGGTAGTAGATAGAGAAGTGGTTGGTATTGCAAGCTAACTCGGCTTCCAAATTTCATGTTTTAAAACAAATTCTTTCAGAATTAGGACTAGAGATTTCTCTAGTATGGGTTGGAAATAGCTATGACATTAGAAATATTTTCTGTTTTCTTCTATTACAATTATGGTTTTTATTATTTATTTGATATTTTACTGAATTTATTCATACCCTATACTTTTCCAAGAATTGAGGTATTTTATAAGGGTGAAGATAATATAATATGATCATATAAATCCAAATTTGGTAAAAAGGAAAGAAAAATAAGAGAGACTAAAATGGGGCACAAATTACATTCTAAGATTTCTAGGAGCAAGTGTGAATGACACATTTCAGAATGTCTATGAGATAAACACAATTTATTCCCAGCACTAATATCAGATGAGAATTTTCCAGGGGGATTCTTACAAAAACATGCTGTATGGACATAATAAAGAATGCCCCACCAACTCCTTAAGTAGATAGTATGACAATTTCCACAAGGCTACTTCAACTCAGCTCTACCTGTGGATGGACCAAGAAAAAAGAAAAAATGGACAAATGCAGTTCCACAGTCTGGTGAGAGTGATATGGTCCCTCCATTTGGTATTCTCCAAAGATTCACTGCTCTGCCTTCCATATCCTGCCATTGTGCCACCACTGGACACCGTTCTAGGGGAACAAGAGCTGCTTATCACTTATACCTTGTGTTGACTGCCACCTTCTCGAACATGTGTGCTATACAGCCCCATCAGGAGAGCAAGCTCTTGGAAGGTAGCAACTATGTTTCACAATCATGATGTTTGTTACAGTGTGCATATGTTTATTGCTCAATAAATCTTTGCTAATTGACTGGTATAAAACCATTATCCCAAATTATGGCACACAATATTAGAGGTATATGAGATGACTTAGTGTGACACACAGAACATTAAACAATTATAAATCAGTTTTAAAAAATAAAAAGCTCCCCGGGTGTGGTGGCTCACGCCTATAATCCCAGCACTTTGGGAAGCCAAGGTGGGCAGATTACTTGAGGTCAGGAGTTCAAAACCAGACTGGCCAACATGGCAAAACCCCAACTGTACTAAACGTATTTAAAAATTAACCAGGTGTGGTGGCAGACACCTGTAATCCCAGCTACTTGGGATGCCGAGGCAGGAGAATTGCTTGAACCTGGGAGGTGGAAGTTGCAGTGAGCTGAGATCATGCCACTGCACTTCAGCCCAGGCAACAGAGCAAGACTCCATCTCAAAAATAAAATAAAATAAATAAAAAGCTATCATATTTCCAGTTCTCTTCTATTCTTTCTGATAACCCTAGAAAGTTCAGATGCAATAGCCACCATTTTTCCCTGAAACTTGATAATCTCTTTTTGTAGCAAAGAGAGGACAGCTTCAGCTGAGAACCATGTTAACTGCATCTATTACTAGGGCTTCCTTAGTATTGAAACCAGAGATCCTGGCTTTCTATTTAAAGTAGTAGTAAATATGAAGTCTCCTTCTTAAATACTTTAAAATGTGTATGCAAGAAAAAGATGAATAGTTCCAGTGATTTGCAATATAACTAAAATTGAGGGCTCAAGTCTAGAGGTATATCCAGAGGCACTGTGAGGTCAGAAAGCCTAGATTAATGCTAATTCCCTTTTCGTTATCTTTTCTTTAGGGTTACTGGATAGAAACAAGCTTCTTCTACATTCCCAGGTTCTAATGCACATTTTCTTGAGTTTTGTTTGCCTGTTCTTGTTCTGTTGTTGTTGTGTCTTTTTAAAAAAAAAAAAAAAAAGGTAAGAAATTGGAAACAAACAGTGTTACAAATATACTTAGGAAATATTTTTTCTTTCGGTCTCTCAACCCTTAAGTTAGGGGATTCTTTCTTAGGTGACTATTGCAATGTTGTCTCAAGAGGACATTAGAGCTCATGATGTAATTCCTTCCCTGGACTCCCACCCCTAGTTGTAAATGACCCCAAGATAACCAACAGTTGTTGGTTCAGCAATAGGGCTGCCATTCTATTGAAATGACTATTTGTGTATATCATCTCTGTTGCTGCTGAATTACATAATTTGCTCCAATAAAATGAAAACTTTTAGGGGTAAGAATTGTTCGTTAGATTAGTAGGGGAAGATGTTTGAACTAAAGATTAAATGAAAAGAAAGACAACACTATTAAAACAAATGGAGTAGCTTATATTAATTTAACCCTATAGGTACCGAATGCATTTCAGTAGCATACATTTAATAACTATCATTATTACATCATTCTAAGTATAACAAATTTTACCTCTGACTGAGAAAAACTTAGATGAGCATTTTGGAATTTTGCTGGAATATATTTTCTTCCAAACAAGTTTGCCAGTACTAACACAAGCTTCTCCATCACATCTTGGGAAAATTGTTGGGTGCCTATTTAAATAAAGAGTATTACTGTAAATAAGAATAATGTTGATTCTATGTATTTTGTGTTTAAATTTGTTTTTATAGTACATTTCCTTTCATTGAAGGCAAAATTTTCTAGTAAATACAGTCCTCAGTTACTGACCATATGTGCCATGTGCACCTTTAATTTTTTTGGTTAAGACAGGAACTTTTATATTCTGTGCCTTTTTTTCCATCCTTGCTCTACCCGCCCTAGTTCCCACCCCAGAATGTTTACTATTGGGTTTCCTGACTTGCACTCTCCTTCCTTCAAGCCATCTTGAGAGTGATTGGGCTTTTCAAAGTATGAATATAATCATGTCCCTCCCCTGCTTAAAAATCTTTAAGAGTATCTCAATGGCTAAGTGAAAAATCCAGGCTTCTTGGCCTGCCATTTAGGGTGCTTCAAATCCTGTCAAAATGAAGCTCCCAGACTTACCTATGAACACTTCTAAATGCTCTAGGTTCTGGTCATCCTGACCTCCACTCCATTCCACCTTCACTCCCCATAACACATGAGTACTATACCATAGGCATTAAAAGGTGGCTAGGTTTAATTACCTGGGCTCTGAAACATACTAAAGTAATATGACCATTGGAAACATATTCACTTTGTATTTTCTCAGTTTTCTCTTCTGCAAATATTCTTTATCAGTTAAGTAATACATAAGCAGCCCTCAAATACTCTTTATTAGTTAGAGTAAATATAAGTTGACTTGCAGTCTAATTTTTTGGTATCTGTAAATTTGAACATATATTTAGCATTTCTTTGCTTTAAAAAAAGGAGAAGGAGGAAGAAGAAGAGAAAAACATTTCTGAGGTTTTGGTTATTAAACAGATGTGTAGCCATTTTTGGACTACATGTATAAAACCCAAGCTTACCTTTAAAGGCTGGTTTACAGAGATTATGAAAAAGGCCTCTCTTGAGAAAATTTACAAAAACAAGATTTGAAGGTTCATGTCCATGCAAATATGATACAAGTCCTGCAAATTTCTTTGGATTACCTTTGTTATTTAAATAGTCCTAAAAATGAGAAAAAAAAGTTTATGTAACTATGTACTCAAATACCATGAAATACCAGAGTTACTGACAAATATTACCTGACTTCATTTATTAATGAATGATAAGTAACACTGTCATTGAATGAAGCTTATAGAAACTTCAGTTGGTTTAGCATAGAAAGAAATCTACATAGTACTAGTTACAGAGAACAAAAGCCAAAGCATGATCATACCTCTTTGATCAGGAACTGCAAAGAAAACAAAAAGTAAAGTTTCAAAGTCACCATGGCTCTTGGTCTCTTAAAAGACAGCAATGAATGCTTTAGCACTGACAACACCTATAAAAGAAGAGTACTTCAATTTATCTTGTTTTAAACAGTATTTGTAAACACTGATATGTAATAAATAGTACGCATACAAACTATATAGATAATGTTACCAGATCTTATGTGAAAGTAAATTTCATTTTATTTCATATTATCTCTTTGACTGTGTCTTCACATGGTACATGCTTCTTTGAATAAAATACGTCACATAAAGCAGAACTGTTATACATAACACAGATTGGCAAATAATCTTCTAAATCCCTGAAACAGTGGTAACTAATAGTGGCCTGAAAAATATAAAGTATGAAAGCCAATCTGGCTTATAAGATTAGCTCTCCTAGACCATTCTAAAGGCAAATCAAGTAATTATATTGTTCTGAGTCTTGAATTATACCATTAAAAATTAATGGAACTAGGTAGATTGCAGTCAACAGATTAGAAAAATTTGGATCTGTGTCATCACCCAAATTTCATGTCAAATTATAATTTGCAGTGTTGGAGGTAGGGCCTGATGGTAGGTGATTGGATCATGGATGTGAATTTCTCCTTTGGAGCTGTTCTCATGATGGTGAGTGAGTTACCATGCAATCTCGTTGTTTAAAAGTGTGTAACACCTTCCCTCTATCTCTCCCTTCCTCCTGCTCCAGCCATGTTAGACATGCCTCCTTCCCCTTCACCTTCCTCCTTGATTGAATGTTTCCTGAGGCCTACCCAGAAGCAGAAGCTGCTTTGCTTCCTATACAGCCTCCAGAACCATGGGCTAATGAATTGTCTTTTCTTTATAAATTACCCAGTCTCAAGTATTTCTATATAACAACGTGAGAATGAACTAATACAGAAAATTTATACTGAGGGGTGGGGCACTACTATACAGGTATCTGAAAATGTGGAAACAATTTTGTAATTGGGTAGTGAACAGGGGCTGGAATTTTGTGCAGGGCTCAGATGAAGACAGGAAGATGAAGGAAAGTTTGGAACATGCTAGAGACTTGTTAAATTATTGTGACCAAAATGCCGATAGTAATATGGACAATGAAGTCCAGGCTGATGAGGTCTAGATGAAGATGAAGATGAAGAACCTATTGAAACTGGAACAAAGGTCATTTTGTTCAGTATTAGCGAAGAGGTTAGCTGCATTGTGCCCCTGCTGTAGGCATTTGGAGAACTTTGAACTTGAAAGAGATGACTTAGAGAGGAAGATCCAAGATGGCCCTTTAGGAGCAGCTCAGGATTGCAGCTTCCAGTGAAAGCACAGAGGGTGAGTGGATGCCGCATTTCCAGATGGATCTTTATTGCCCACAGACAGGAGATTCCCAGGCGGAGGAGCCCCCCGGGTCACAGAGCGGCTGTTTTGGCTGGTGCAGCTGTTTCGGCCAGCACAGCTATTTTGCCAGTGCCCAGGCGCGGCGGTTCTCCATACAAAATACACTGGTCTGATTGCCCCTTTAAGCTGGCAATAGGAGCTCCAAAAAGACAGATTCGCCCATTCATCTGATTAAACAGGGAGCCAGGCCAGGAGATTCCTGGGCAGCGACATTGTTTCAGCCAGCACAGTGGGTTACCACACAGGAAATCACACAGATTCTGGCGCCCTTTCAGCAGGCAACTGGAAGACTTGGGAGAGAGTCAACCGCTCAACTTAAAAAAAAAAAAGGCTCTGAGGTAGGGGGCCAGCTGATCAGGCTCGGCGGGTCCACCCCCACAAAAACAAAAAAAACACAGCAATTGGAAACGCTCCTGGTTGAGAGTTTCACAGCAAGCACAGCTGAACCCGGGATGGCCCAGCTCTGTGGGGGAGGGGCGTCTGCCATTACCGAAGCAATCCACCCCTATGGAGGTATTCCTGCTGTTGCTGAGGCAACCCGCCATAACAGAGAGAGTCCACCATTACAGAGGTGGGCCACCATTGCCAAGGCAGTTCTAACCACACCCATATAAACAGGACTGAAGGGAAGTTCACACAGCAGCAGGGCGGAGCCCACAGCAGCTCAGGAAAGCCTCTGCAGGCAGACAGGGACTAGGCTGCCTCCTTGCTGGGCAGGGCAGCCCTGAAAAAAAGGCAGCAGCACAATGGTTACTCATAAATAAAGCCCTCACACCCCAGGACAGAGCACCTGGGGGAATAAAAAGGAATTTCTGAGTTCTACTGCAGCCGACTTAAACATACTTGCCTAGCAGCTCTGAATGAACAACGGAGCTCACAGATCAGCACTTGAGCTACTATAAAGAACAGACAGTCTCCTCAAGCAGCTCCCTGACCCCCATATATAAAGAGTCACCTCACAAAGGACTGATCAGACTGACATTTTGCAGGCATCATTCTGGGACAAAGAGAGCAGAAGAAGAAACTGGTAGCAACCCTTACTGTTCTGCAGCTGCTACAGGTGATCTCCAGGCAAGCAGGGCCTGAAGTGAACCTCAGCAGTCCTACAGCAGTGGGGCCAGACTGTTAGAAGGAAAACTAAGAAACAGAAATAACTTCATCATCAACAATCTGGACGTCCACTCAGAGACCCAATCTGAAAATCAGCAACTACACAGATGACAGGTGGATAAATCCACAAAGATGAGAAGAAACCAGTGCAAAAAGGAGGAAAACACCGAAACGAGAACACCTCTCCTCCTACAAGGGACCACAAATCCTCACCAGCAAGGGAACAAAGCAGTATGGAGAATGAGTGTGATGAAATGACAGAATCAGACTTCAGAAGGTGGGTAATGAGAAACTTCTGTGAGCTAAAAGAACATGTTGTAACTCAATGTAAAGAAACTAAGAACCTTGAAAAAAGATTTGACAAAATGATAACAAGAATGGACAACTTAGAGAGGAATATGAGTGAATTAATGGAGCTGAAAAACACGAGAACTTCGTGAAGCATGCACAAGCTTCAACAGCCAAATTCACCAAGCAGAAGAAAGAATATAAGAGATTGAAGATCAACTCAATGAAATATAATGAGAAGGCAAGATGAGAGGAAAAAGTGCAAAAAGGAATGAACAAAGTCTCCAAGAAATGTGGGACTATGTGAAGAGACTGAATCTATGTTTGATAGGTGTACCTGAATGTGATGAAGAGAAAGAATACAAGCTGTAAAATACTCTTCAGGATATTATCCAGGAAAACTTGCCCAACCTAGCAAGGCAGGTCAATATTCAAGTCCAGGAAATACAGAGAACACCTCAAAGATATTCCACAAGAAGAGCAACCCCAAGGGACATATTGTCAGATTACCCAGGGTTGAAATGAAGAAGAAAAAGCTAAGCATAGCCAGAGAGAAAGGTCGGGTTACCCACAAAGGGAAGCCCATCAGACTCACAGCAGATCTCTTAGCAGAAACTCTACAGGCCAGAAGAAAGTGGGGGCCAATATTCAACATCCTTAAAGAAAAGAACTTTCAACACGGAATTTCATATCCAGCCAAACTAAGCTTAATAAGTGAAGAAAAAATAAAATCCTTTGCAAACAAACAAGTACTCAGAGATTTTGTCACCACCAGGCCTGCTTTACAAGGGCTCCTGAAAGAGGCACTACACATAGAAAGGAACAACCAGTACCAGCCATTCCAAAAACATACCAAATGGTAAAGATCATCCACAAAATAAAGAATCTGCATCAACTAACGAGGAAAACAGCAAGCAAGCATCAAAATGGCAGTATCAAATTCACAGATAACAATATTAACCCTAAATGTAAATGGGCTAAATGCCTCAATCAAAAGACACAGACTGGCAAATTGGATAAAAAGCCAAAACCCATCAGCGTGCTGTAACCAGAAAACCCATCTCACATGCAAGGATACACAAAGGCTCAAAATAAAGGGATGGAGGAAGATTTACCAAGCAAATGGAGAGGAAAAAAAAGCAGGAGCTGCAATTCTTATCTCTGATAAAACAGACTTTAAAGCAACAAAGATCAAAAGAGACAAAGAAGGACATCACATAATGGTAAAAGGATCGATGCAACAAGAAGAGTTAATGATCCTAAATATATACGGACCCAATACAGGAGCACCCAGCTACATGAGGCAAGTTCTCAATTACTTACAAAGAGACTTAGACCCCCACACACTAATAGTGGGAGACTTTAACACTCCACTATCAATATTAGACAGATCCACCACACAGAAAATTAACAACGATATCCAGGACTTGAACTCAGACCTGGAACAAGCAAACCTGATAGACATTTACAGAACTCTCCACCACAACTTCAAAGAATATACATTCTTCTCAGCACCACATCACACCTGCTCTAAAATCGACCACATACTTCGAAGTAAATTACTCCTCAGCAAATGCAAAAGAATGGAAATCATTAAAAAACAGTCTCTCAGACCACAGTGCAGTCAAGTTAGAACTCAGAATTCAGAAACTAACTCAGAACCGCACAACGTCATGGAAGCTGAACAACTGTCTCTTGAATGTTGACTGGATAAACAATGAAATGAAGGCAGAACTAAAGAAGTTCTTCAAAACCAATGAGAATGAAGACACAGCATACCAGAATCTCTGGGACACATTTAAAGCAGTCTATAGAGGAAAATATATAGCAATAAGTGCCCACATGAGTAGAAAGGAGAGATCCAAAATTGACACCCTATCATCAAAATTGAAAGAGCTACAGAAGATCAAAAAAACTCAAAACCTAGCAGAAGACAAGAAATAATTAAATCAGAGCAGAACTAAAGGAGATAGAGACACAAAAAGCCCTTCCAAAAATCAATAAATCCAGGATCTAGCTTTTCAAAAAGATCAACAAAATAGACAGACTACTAGCCAGATTAATAAAAAAGAAAAGAGAATAACCAAATAGATGCAATAAAAAATGATAAAAGGGAAATCATGACAGATCCCACAGAAATGCAAACCATCATGAGAGAATATTACAAACAACTCTATGCACATAAACTAGTAAACCTGGAAGAAATTGATAAATTCCCGGACACTTGTGTCCTCCCAAGGCTAAACCAAGAAGAAGCTGACACTATGAATCGACCAATAACAAGGTCTGA